GTATTCATTTTTTTTTGTTCTTTTTTTCCCCTGCAAGCGCACCGTGCACTTTGATGCAGAAAACCCGTGTGCCACGGCGTGTGCGTAATTATTTTTTCTGTACTTCGTTTCATGATCATAAATGTACGCTGCGACAAGATAAGCATTGCCACAACCTGTGGAAGCAGCACGTGGGTTTTTTTTTTTTTTTTTCCTTGGTTCTTCGTATATTTCAGTCGCGTTTTACCTTGCAGCTGAATGCTTCATATTATTTCCGTATTCTTTGGAGGGAGTACATTCAGTCGCATTTTTTATTTTTAATACGCATTTTTTGCTGCTCTTGCATCGAAAATCATGGGGGGGGATGGTATGACAATGATTCTGGAGGGCATGAACAAATCGAATTGGTTGGTTTTCTGGTCTCGTCTATTTACTACGTATTAGGGGAACGGCAAAGCAGGGGGGACTGTTGGCATCGAGATATTAGCTCGGGGTGAATTTTGGGAGCTGACAGCAGGGGGGCTGTTTGCGTTTCATGGACAACAGCGACGGTACCGATTAGCGGGTGCGCGCTGTTTAGGATTTGGTCCTTGGACACTATATTGGAGGAAGGATTTGACATGTTTTGACGATTAATGGTTGGGGCCGTTGTGCTTTCCGAGTTCTCGTTTTGATTGGTCAAGAAGTTGAGTTTTTGTTTTGTTGGAGGATTTGGTGCCAACTCTTTTGTAGTTGTTTTTTCCAGAAATGTCCGTTTTCAGTCCGACGTCTTTCTGATGTAACACAAGTAATTGTTGGGTACCTTTCAGAGGATGATTCTTCTGTGTCAACGGTTTGAGACTATTTCCAGAGACGAACGCGTTGGACTCGTGAATAAACTGATGGAGCCGCTTTGTGTTGGATGCGTAGCCAGTTTTGTTGAATTAAGTTTTCTCAAGGGGTGTGTTTCTATGTTTGCTGATGGCGCGTGCAGGGTTGCAAGATCGTACATCGTATCAAATAGGGGGGCTGTTTGTGGTACTTGGATATGAGTCCGATCTGTGCATCCTCTGTGGGGGATACGCGTATGGGAAGTGTGGGTGTGAGGGTATGTATGCGTTTGTGGTCCAAGTGCGGGGCGCCCGGGAGCACACGGCGTTGTGCTCCTGGCACTTGCCTGAGGGGCTTGCGTGTTGAATACCAGCTTGCTTGCCTGAAGGGCTTGCGTGACGAATATATACAATACATGGTCCTGTTTCATCTGCTGTTCCTGGGATAACATAGTCCCCAGTCTCAACACCACAGACCGCTGCGGGCGGCAGTGCACTAACACGTGCGATACAATATGTGTGGTTGTCGGAAAGCCTCCGGTTTCGAACGGTGCGCTAGCCTTGGTTCGGTACTTGTAGCGGCGACTCCCTGGTGCGCCCTACTGATCTACAGCACACTGACTGTTTTACCTCATGCGCAAGATTTCACACGTCGCCCCGCTGTGAAGTATAATAGTGCTACTGTATGTGTGCAGCGAACGTGGATATATACATCCTGCGATACATGGACTGGTAGACCATAGATGCCCACAACTACTTTAACTACTTCACCCTGGGCAGACAGAACGCTGCAGCAGCTCACTACCGCACGTAGACCTCCGTCCTGATCGTTCGGCGTTGCCCCGGCCCTGCCTGAAAGGCATCACTCTACAAGTAGACGACAATTTCATCACTTCATCATCCAATCTCTGTGATTTCCATCCATCCGTCGCTTCGCCGGACTCAACATAACAAATGATATGGTACACGCCAGATACACGAAGGAAAGTACTGGAGGACCACAGCGAGGGAAGTAACATAATTCGTTCTCTACACAGCGTGTTGCGGTCGTACCTGCCCAAGATGTGGCTTTCAGGATCTGTGTTCTTGTTGCCGCTGTTGTTATTGCCGAGTGAGAGGAAGAGATGAATGATAAGGTGTGGCTGCACAAAACTTCCCGTGACATTTATTCTTCGCGCTCATAAATTCTTCTGCCCCGAAAGATGGCCGTGAGGATGTTTTCTTTTTTCTTCGGCAAACGGAAAACGTACCCCGGTGCGTGCCTTTCGTCCCACCGAGAGAGAGAACTGCCGTCCAGTCCCGGAGCTGTGCGGCCCTCCAGGTCTTGACTCTTGCTTCCCTCTATCTGGTGCTATTGATTGCCGGGTGTTGGTCGTGGTTTGTCAGACTTTTCCCATCCGAAGAAAACGCTCCAGTAAAGGTTCCGAGTCGGTCACTACAATATGTACTGCAGTAGGGCCGAGGAGAAGGAAAAGTGGGCTGGTCGGCAGGCCACAGTTGCGCCACAAGGGCCACCGTATCCTGGGCCGCAGCGCTTCAGGATCCATTGCTGTCATTATCGAGCACCGCAGAGGCGAGCTGGAGGAGGATAAGCTCCACGCCACAGCTTGGCCGGCGTGGATGTAGCCCGCTATGGCTCTAACTGCACGAAGGTCCTGGCCCGCGTTAGCAAGCATCGCAATGGCTTAGATCACAGCCTTAGCGGTGATCCCGACTAATAGCTGCAGTGCTGGTGGTGAATGTGAGGCTCGTGTCCACCGTCGGACTGGCACCAAAGGTTCTGAGCCCCGACGTAGAGTTCCAGTCGTCCCCTCTGCCAAGTTGCTCGTTACACGCCATGCTCAACATATAGAAAGAGTCCTTGGAGAGCGACGTGGCGGCAGATTGTTTTGCCCACGTGGTGCCGGAAGAGCAAAACAGGCAACCGGGCGACCCCACCTCCACGCACGTGACATCATGCCCCGATCTTGTCACCTTCCCCGGAGAATCGACCAAGTAATCAACCTACCGCCTTGTTCCGGGAGGCGTGAACCCAACCGATGCAGTTCAAGCAAAGCGCGCATATGACCAGATCAGTGACGACGACCACGGTGTCTTGCTCCACGCGGTTGGGGGATGCCCCCTGGCAATCCTCAAAACAAGTTCGTCCGTGTGCGCCCGAATGATGTTAGACGCCCTTTCGACCGCATGTGCTAAAATATACACGGACGGGGGCCACCCCGGCAACAGGTGTACACGGGAAACCCGCGTACGGGCGGGTATCCATTTACCGACAGAAGTGTATGGATCAAGAGGAACATGACTACTGACTTCGTACGCAATCATCGCCCAGTCAGGATATCGCCAACGCTTGAGGATGCCCAAGCCAAACAACACTCCGACCGGTCCGCAGTTGCATACTCGAGTAATTTGTACTGCTCACTTTGTGCTTGCCAACATTTCAAGACCTCGCAAGACCCGTTGCTTTGTCCATCCGCGCTGCACGCATGTCACGCAAAGTATCAATGCGTTCATGCAGCTTTGTCGATGTGTGCAAATGCGTCGCCTACTACGCAACTTGACACAGTATGTACAGTAGAACGATTAGATACGTATTCCGTGTCTCAACGGTGGATCAGTCAATATTTACTCACATCCGCAGGAGTGCTGCTGAAGCTAAGCGTCAGAGGAATACAATGCTGTGGTTTTTTAAACCGACGAGCACTACGGGAGGCGGGAAGGGGTCGAGGGACGTGATGGATAGCAGCGGTGGCGCAAGCAGTGACGTTAAGGTGGTTACGACGGGAGTTGCGGGCGGGCGTGAGGGCGGAGCAGGCGCGGGTAGCGACGCTGAGGTGGTTGCGACGGGAATTGCAGGCGGGGGTGGAGGCGGAGCGGGCGCAAGCAGTGACGTTGAGGTGCTCTCGACGGGAGTTGCAGGCGGGCGTGAGGGCGGAACGGTACGGGTAGCGACGGTGAGGTGGTTGCGACGGGAGTTGTGAACGGGCGTGAGGGTTATGAGGGCGCGAGCAGCGAAATGGATGGAGCTTTCTCCGACGCTGCACACGAGAGTGGTTCGACCGATATGGTGCGCGTCCAAAACCCCCTCCGCTGCGCGGGATTGCGTCCGAATGTTCGGGAGCCTCCTCTCCAACACTACCCAGCAGCTTTGCATGGTGTCGTCAGAAAGGGGCTGTCGTGGGAGGCTCGGACGGACCCGAATGGCGTGGCTCTTTACGCTGTGGAATCCGTCTCCCGCGGCATCCTGAGCCCAAGTTGTGCTGGAGCAGTGGAAGAACCAGGAGGCACGTGCGAGGTGGGTGGACATCGAGGGCAGTAAGGTTTACAGAGGTGGGACCACGTAGCGAAAAAACGCGAAATAGGAAGGCACAACTAGGAAGGCAAGACAATTTAACTGTCGTACCCTCATTCCACCACACATGTACTTTTTTTTAATTGGATTGTTCCCTCTGCACCCCTTCCGTCTTGGAGCAGATCTGGTTCATCGATCATCGTTGGAGCCAGAAGACTCAAGGTTGAAGCACCTTGCCCTATATTTGTTGACTCCTCACCAGCAACGAGGCAGGCTGACGCGGTAGAAGAAGAAGTTCGAAGTGCAGAAACTGTACACTTTGAACCAACTCAGGAAGTGCCCGGCTTTGCATGGTCGTGTTGCACTCGCGAAGAGTATCTTCATTAACATCGCAGACAATGACGTGAATGGCGTTCGAAGGTTGATGGCTCAAGCGCGGCGAGACGGCTTGTCGCTGAGTGGTATCATGCATAGGTTAGAACAGGCGGTGAATGGCAAGTATAGTGCCAAAGGGTTCAGCGAGGATGAGTTTGACTTGCCAATACTCTCCATGCGGCTTGGAGGACTAGCGGCATTGCATGCGTTGCATTAAGCAGCAGGGTTCCCGGGGGCATCGACGGTGTACGCGAGGATCAGGGAGCGTTCGGTGAGCAACAGGGGGTTGGAACGTTGAGGATCACACCAAGAACAAGCAGTAGCCCTTTTAGCCGTTCGCACAAGTTGGTTTGCAGTGAATCAAGCTCGGTATTGTGCTGTCTGTTTCCTGTCACGTCCTTTGCTCTGACGCCGAGATCTTGTCTGCCACGCCCTGTGTCTATGTCCACCATTGCAGATGAAGTTTGTCGTGTGCGCTTCGCTTGAGAAGGAGTGCCTGGTTGCGGCAATCACGGCCAACCTCGAGCGCTTTTCGCGGCTGTACGATGGCGAGAGGAGAGTGGTCATTCTGGAGATCGACGAGATTGCAACGGAGCCGCGTGCAAGATACTACGGTCTTACGGACGAGGTGCGTATTGGGAGCTTCGTGTTTGTGTTGCGCACGCCATTTTTAAGTCCCACAGGTTGCGAGGCGTCTCGCGTAGACGTTACCCACCGTTTGCAGTGCAGCTCTGGATTCGTTCCGTGCTGGCCGAGCAAGTATTTCCATCAGTCAGTCAGATTTTGATTCGTTTCCCACACCACAAATGGTGATTCCCTACAATGTTTGACATCAGATTTTGGGCCTGTGCGTGCAGCACACCCCTCCCAAGAGTACGAAGTTCGACCTTGACAACCTTGAAGACCTTTCCGGCCGGCTCAACGAGGGGCACTCGCACAGTGGGAGCGAACACACCGTCATCTCCGCTTGCGCTATTTGAAAAAAATTCGCACCACGCGATACCAGTCGTGGCGTCCGCCAGCTGCAAGGCGCGTAACCCAGGGCAGCAGCAAGTCGTCTTTGAAACGGTAAGACACTGTATCAGTTGGTGATAACGCGGAAGGTCGAGGCAAGGTGAGATTCTGTCCATACCCCCCACCCGTCCACTCAACCATGATATCTACGTTTTATGGAAAGTCGGTGCCGGCCTCGCACGTTGACGCAGATACTGGGAGTGTGGAACGATCGGTTCGCTCCCACCATCGGCCCCATCGTGCTCGTGGCTTCAGATGGGGACGGCGTGAGGCGTCGGTTGCTCTACAACTTCACCAGCAGTGTCACGTCCGAGAAATTCGCTGAGTTCGACCTCCTCGACGCCACGACTAGCGAGCACGGCGTGGTACAGTGCTTCGATCTGAAGCACAACCTGAAGCGGCTTCGCACGAGGGACATTTCGAAGAGAGGGGTGAAGATACCGGCGGGCGCACTTCCGCTTTACTGTGACAGCTTTCCACAGCTATTTCAGTGGTACGACTGCAAACCGAACGAGACATACAGGACCTTGCTCAACCCGGACGCCATTGAATAGATGGTCTGTTCGGCTCTCTCCCGTCAAGTCTTCGTAGCTGTGCGATAGCCAGCCGCAAAAGGACAGTTCAACCGCACCGCCGCAGATTGTCAGCATCAACTTGCCAGCGAGACTAATAAGTATGTTTTGGTATGCGTTTGACTGTTCCTCTGTTCGTGCGGTATCGTTTTGCTCGTCTCTTAGCCAGAACGTCGGGCTTGCGATGAAGATGGAATCGAAGCAGGTGGAAGTGGCGAACGCCGACCAGGGTCGGCTGATTGAGTTGGCAACGATGCCCGCCTTGGCCGTGCTACACCGCGATCTGAAGGTGAGAATCCAACCATTTATGTTTCCTTGTTTGGAGATGAATGAGCGATGAAGGCGTCTGCTTCAGGCTGATCGTGCAGACGATTGAAAGCGGGAGGAGGTGTATGTGGGGCTCTCGACAATGGCTCTGCTCGAGCCTCTCACTTTTGTTTCCTGTGCCCGAAATCGTTCCCAAACGCTGTGCCCGGCTTAGGTGAAAGCGGTTATTGCCGAGAATCTTCTCGCCGTCTTGTGCGACCCTTCCAAGACCGTGGGAGAGCTTCTGGAAGGGCTCTCGTGCGTCGTGCATTTGCTGCTGATCCTCTACCGTGCTCTCCGGACTGCCACGATGACGGGGCAGCTCGACCATGACCTGCAAGCGACGATTCGTGGCATCTTCTACGTTGTGCTCAAAGTACAGCAGCACTGCAGGGCAACGCTGGTGTTTCTCTGGCAGATTGGCACGGATGCGCTCGAGAACCTTTTCGCAGTGGTGCGAACCCTGATTCACGGCAGCAACATCGACGGGAAGGAACTCGGCGACCGTCTGGGCCCTGCTGTCGCGCTGGAGGAAATCTACGCCAAGCACCCGAGCTGGGCCAGGAAATCTCGGCGCTTGAGCTTGGCCTGCTTGGGCGAGATCGACCACATGAACGGGAGTACTTGGCGGGAGGCCGGACCAGGCGGGAGCTGCGACGTGCGGCAGGTGAAGGTGGTTGGATGCTGGAACGAGGGGCGGAGAAACGCAATTCGTGTTCTGCAGGACCACGAGGAGTACACCGGCGTATCACAGGCCACGTTCGACGACTTCAAGGACAAGGGCATCACCATGTTCTTTCCGTTCGGGTGAGTACTCCCGTATTTCGCTTGGTTATAATTTGGCTCTGTTCCGTCCGTCGCCTTCTCGGGCGTAGAGTTTTTTTGGCGGCCAGGGTAGGTTTCGTGAGAAGGTGGAACCACAAATACATGCCGTCTTTCAAGACTTGTTCCAACAGCGTCAGCGGTCTACGTTCTGCCTGCCAACAATTGGTGTTTATCAAGGGTCGCAGATACCTGTCACACTGTTCTGAATGCAACTACCCACCATTCCCGCACCCCCCCTCCAGAACCAACAAAGAAATGCCTGGCGTGCGGACCGAAGACGGCACCGACGCATGGGACGAGGAGGAGGGTGTCGTCGGCCAGGCAGCATCGCCAAGTGACGGTGGCGGGGACTCCGACAACGCTGAAGTCCGAGAGGTGCTGGACACGGAGGGAGAAGAGTCAAGCTCATCTACCCACAGCCCATTTGTGCAAGTGGGCGCGAAGAAGGTGCGAGGGACTTTTCTTTCCTAACTTGGCCAAGCAACAAACATTCGCCCAGTGAACACCATGTGACCGCACCACCAACCATCTTGCACACAACGTTTTTGGGCGTGCTTTGTCGATGGACTGAAGCAAATTACGTCTAACGTAGACCTTGGTTGGAATCAACTTGTAGGAATAGTCAATCATGCACCGTTGCAGTACACGCAGATGCCAGCAAACCTGATCCCGAACTCTATTTTACGCGTGCCCTGCTGTTTGTCGGCCACGGCGCGTATCTTTCGGTGTTATTTTTCGTTAATGATAGATCTTCAAGGCCTCGGCGGTTAAAGAGTATACTGGGCCTCACGCCGGCAAGGCCTCCAGAGATCGGCCCGCACGTGTGCGGGCGTTCACGACGCCGGCAGGCGAACGCCTGGCCGAGGGTAGCACTTGCTTGGATGACTCGGGCACAGCGTTGCAGATCGGCTCCCCGTTTGCCTGGACACGGAGAGGTGGTCTGCGTCGTACCCGCCGAGGCGCTATTCAGGCTTCGCGCAGGACGTCACCAACCCGTGAGCTACTGCGTCGGGGTTCTAGTCGTATTTGCGCCACCAGCAGCTGGCGGCGAGGCCGCAGATGGTCAGGTGGTCAAAGGGCAGCTAATGAGGATAAGGCTGGTCGGCGGTGACGGCGATGGTTCGACGTTTGAGTGGGAGAACCGAAAGCTGCACACAGCGACTACTTACAGCTGCTCTCTTGCCCTTGTCGAGGAACTGAACCCGACGTTGGAGATGGGCAAGCAGACGTACGTGTTCAGCATGGACGAGTTGATCACCACACAGCACGTGCTTGAAGCTGGAGTGGAAAGGGTGCAAGGCTGGGCGGCGGTTCCTGACGTGCGACCACCACTACGCAACCAAGTCACCCCTCTACCTCTTCATGACAACCTCACTTGCATGGCGGGCGGGGCTCTCCGGGCGGAGGAAGTTCCGGGGGCGGAGGAAGTTCCGGCAGCTTCTGTGGATGGGAAAGTGGAGTGCCCGCTGTGTTTCTCGGAGGTGTCCGCGAAACTACTGCTGCAGCACATGGGGGGACACGTCCTTCAGGATGAGGTAAGACGCTCGCAAGCAAGTGCACTTTGTTTCTGTTTCTGTGACTTCAAAGGACTGCATGATATTCCAAGTTCGACATACCTGCAGGAACGATGACAACATTTTGTTTTGAATGTATTTCTGTTGATGGTACTGCCGCTCCCACAGGACCGACGGCAGCGCAACACGTTCGGCTTTTGTGGCGGGGACATTGGGGAGAAGTGCAAGACGTGGGTTGTCGAAGCAAAGACGGGGAAGGCTGCGCCTCAGATACACTCCAACTGTTCTCTTGCGCCCAAGTTGGACTCGTGAACAAGTCTCGTTGCTATCGGCCTAAAAGCGGCGTCGAAGTTCACGACTTGTACACCTTGCACCAACGTACTCCTGAAGTGCTTGTTTCGCAGCCCTGAAAAGTGGGTGTGGAAGTACTCCATGTCCCACCACGTAGACCAGGAGCATGCCACTTCGTTGGAGCTGAGCAAAACAGATCCGAACACTGCGAAGTTCACGAAGAGCTTTGCCGTAGGCGAGACTGAGAAAGCGGCGGTGGTGGGAAAGCTAAAGGGCAAGGGTACGGCTGTCAGAGTCCCCGTCACACGCCGAAAGGTCCCACACCAGAGGAGTACGGCTGGCAAAGCCCCCGTAGCATGCCGTAAGGTCTCGCCGGGGGCGGAGGGGGTTGATGGTACAGACGGGTCACTCTCAGACGAGTCCTCAGCGGAGACGGGGGACTCGGTTGAAGATGAGAGCTCGGGGTCGGAAGAGGAGGAGGAGGAGCACGAGGAGGAGCACGAGGAGGAGGAACAGGAGGAGAAGGAGGGGGGGGTGGGGGGGAGGGGGGAAGAGGATGAAGGGCGAAGGCGCTCAACGCGAAAGCGCTCCAAGAATCGGCGGTTTAGTCTTGTTGAGGGAGGTGGAGGGGCTTCGGGGAGTGAATAATAAGTACCATGCAAGACAAATTGCTATTATTTGTGGATGGGTGTTGCACGTGGCGAAGGTGATTCCACCGCCGTAGGCTCATCGACAGCCCCTCTTCGGTATGTTGCCGGCTTGAGTAAGCTTGGAATTATGACGTTTCGACGCATGGGTATGTGTCATTTCGCCACATACGACCGAGGTCAAATGTCGTGGACTTGTCGCAGAGGCGTAGAGAAGTTCTAAGTTACTTGTAGCTGAGGGGTTGTCCCCAAGCACTACTGCTGTACTTCAAGACTTGAAAACCAAATAAGAAGTGTCCCCAGCCCATCACATATTATCTCAGTACATGAAGTAGCAATCTACACCTTTCCTGCTTGCACGTCGTGCCGTAAACACCACCACACACACGCAAGCACACGCAATGGAGAAGGAGAAATCCAAAAGAAAGCCTGTACGAAAATATTCCAAAAAATTAAACTTCTTTCACACCCCTCCCGGGGGGGGGGAGGGGGGTAGGGTTAGGTGTCGGATTTTTTTTTTTGTGCGCCCTTGGCCATAGTCAAGGGGATCACAATCGACTGTGCAAGGCGAAATCGCCCGCCGGTACACATCGCGGGCCATACATACGTCGGTGATCAGTACGATTCATCAGTTCGAGTTACATGTAGCACGCTACATATTCAGACGCTTGATAACACCCCTGCCAAAGACGGGCAGCGTAATTCCGCGGTACACAGCAACGGCCGGCACTGGTAAGGCGTCGCCGGGCAACGCACTGACCCAGCAGGCGCATGCCCGCTATCTTCGGACGTCGTGTTGCAGTATTGTACGTCTGCTGCGAACAAAGCATCTGAGAGACATGGCGACATAGGTGTACATATGCAGAGATAGGCCGTACCCTCTGCTCGGCTCCGCTGATACTTCTGAGTCTCATCCTCCCCCAGAGCAGCTTATCTTGTCGGTGTCGGTGAGCAGTGGGGCAGGCGCGTCGCACGAGTAGCGTGGATGCATGAAGGAAGTAGCAGTAAATCCGGGTGCGCGGTGTTGATGGCGCTCGTCCCGACGAATGTGTGCACCGTCTAATATGTGCCTCTGTCGTTCGTAATCTGAGGCAACACACACACACACATAGCGCGGTCGATGCTAATAATAAAGACACACACACAGGAGAATTCGTTTGGCAGTGATGAACGAGGAGGAGGGAACGAGAGGAGGACATAACATTGATCAAAGCAGCAGTCGAGGAGGGAACAATGGCGTGGAAGAGAGCAAGAGCTTCGAGCCAGATGACCTTCCCCACCACAAACGACGCAGGGCTAGACGCGAAATGTCGACAAGTTGCTGTGAAAATTACCATGAGAACGATAGAGTTGGAAGGAAGGAGGATGACGGTGAACGCACTCACTCCAAAACGAAATC